AGACTGAGTTTGGGTCTCACTTGAGATGCAATAAGGGATTAACAGAGTTCTGTTTTTGGAAGCTCACTCCAGAATTTCTGTGTAGGAAATGAACTGTAGGTGCACAGTACTGGAAGTAGGAGTAGCAACGTGTCTGATGAGGAGCTGTTGGGAGCCCCCAGTTGTCTAACTGTGTGTGTGGGGTTTACACATGCACGCACATGCACAAAGGAGTCTCAGATTATCCACTGGAGACGCAATGTCATGATCCCCCCCACTGGACAAATCTAAAATTCCTAACATTCACTTTATAGCTCTTTTCTTTGGCACGGCTAAATTTCCAGCATCATGATATTTGTACCTTTGAGCCATTATCAAATAAGATAAGGGTTATTTGAACACGAACACCGTACAGTGAGGACAGTCTAATCACTAAGCTAACCACTAAATATGACTGATGGGCAGGGAGCATATACAGCGCGGATACACTGAACACAGAGCTGATTCGCTCTCTAGGCAGGATGGGCAGGGGCAGCCCGAGAACGAATCAAGCTCAGAACACCATGCAATTTAGAAGTTACTATTTGTTTCTGAAACTTTCCATCAGCTAGCTTTGGACCACTGTTGAAGGCAGGATATTGACCCCGAGGCGATGGAAGCTGTATCACATAGGCACACTTAGGGTCAGTTGTCTGCAGGAGATGTTCTGGAGAAGTTCTTGTCTGGGCTTGGTGATGAGGAGGCAGGGGGTCAGAAGTCAGGGATGGTGCTGAGCTTTTTGGCATAAGTGCAGAGTGGATGGTGGTGCCAGATGCAAAGAAAGAGAAGCCTGGAGGGAAAATTGGTTCAGGACACTCGGGAGCTCTACTCTGGAGTGGTGAGTGTGGGAGCTTCCCTTACTGCCCAGGAGGTGTTTATACACAGGAGGGTCAAAGCTCTGTGAATGACAAAGGCCCTAAAGGATCCCGTCATACTCCTGGCCTGTCTTTGTGTGATGCCTGTCAGGTCTGTGATACAGGGACAAATGAGACACAGTCCCAGCTCTCCTGGAGCTCAATGGAGGAACTAGAGTTGGTCCAGCTTTGGTACCTGATATTCATCAAGGAGGATATAAAACCACGTGCACAAAATTAGGTGTGTAAAGAAAGAGAGGTCCCATAGCCCAAGCTTCATCAGATGCACAGAATGTTCTCTGGGGTGGGGAAGATGGGGAAGTCAAAGTTATAGCATCATGCAGAAATATGTAGTTTCTTATTTTGTTTTCAGAATGCGGAAATATGTAGGCAAATGGGGAGGGATTCGGATTGCAGAGTGTCGGGAAAGGCCTGGGAGAGCGGGATGCAGGAGTTGGCCCTGAAACAGTGGGGTCTTGTCATCCTGTGTTGAGGACAGAGGACCGGGAGCTGTCTGTGAGGAAAGAGACTGCAGCTGTGCTGTGCAGAGTGTAGCCACAACTTCAGCAGCGTGAGCATTAGAAAGAATTGTAAAAGAAGAAGCATGGGGCTGGAGAGATGGCTCAGAGGTTAAGAGCACTGACTGCTCTTCCAGAGGTCCTGAGTTCAATTCCCAGCAACTACATGGTGGCTCACAGCCATCTATAATGAGAGCTGGTGCCCTCTTCTGGCATAAAAGCATACATGGAAGGAATGTTGTAGACATAATAAATAAATAAATCTTAAGAAAAAAGAAGAAGCATGCCATACACACCAAGCACTTAGTATTCTAAAAAAGAATGCAAAAACACTTAAACTTCTTTATGTTCATTACTTGTTGTAGTTGTAGTTTTCTTTGGGCTACTAGCTCCCAAATAATGACACAGAGACTTCTTATTAATTATTAAAATCCCAGCCTTAGCTTAGGCTTGTTCCGCTAGCTCTTATAGCATAAATTAACTCGTTTATTTGTATCTATATATCTCTCATTACTACCACGAGTCTGACTGGGGACTCCACCTTTCTTCTCCCCGGAGGCTCTGTCTCTGGAGGTCCCACCTAACTTCTTCCTGCCTAACCTTTGGCCACTCAGTTCTTTATTGAACCAATCACAGTGACATCTTCACACAGTGTAGGAACATTCCACGACAGTTTGTTGAAATGGTGCTTTCAAGAGGACTGGAGCTCCAGCTCGGTCCTCAGCAGACTGCTTGATTGACATATTTGATCCATGAGTTTGATCTCCATGGCAGTAACAACAACAACATTTGGCTGCGGGGAAGCACTGGGGAAAGTCGCAGGTTGGGTGCGGTGGCGCACGCCTTTTATCCCAGCATGTGGGAGGCAGAGCAGACAGATCTCTGGGAGTTCCAGGCCAGTCAGGGATGCATAAGGAGACCCTGTCTCAAAAAATGGAACAAAGCCAGGCAGTGATTGGGCACACCTTTAATTTCAGCGCGTGGAGGCCGAGGCAGGTGGAATCTCTGAGTTCAAGGCGAGCCTGATCTACAGAGCAAGCTCCAGGACAGCCAAGGCTACACGGTGAAACCCTGTATCAAAAGACAAACACAACATGCCTCCCAAAAAGTTGCTTCTAGTTCTGCACTATGGACAGTCAGGAGCCCGGTACAGAGGAAGCTCAGCTCTCCCTCCACGGGACAGCGAGGCTTCTAGAACATGGAGGAGGAACACGGTGAGATGTGCTTAGAAACTCGCCGTGCTGAGGGGGTGAAGAATACACCTGAAGAGGAACAGATCCAGACTCAAGGACTTTCTGGGCCTGGAGGCAGGAGAGTGGAGGTCAAACTGAGCTGCCTAAGACCTGGTCTGTTGGTCCCCTGGTGTGGGCAGTGAGGCAGAGAGGAATAGGCTCGCAATCGTTGGTACTTCCAGTCAGTTCCAGGGGATCCAATTCCAGTACCAGGGGTCCCCTTTCTCGCCTCTGGAGCACCAGGCATGCACATGGTACAGATACACAGATGTAGGCAAAGCCCTTATTCATATTAAACAAATTTTTAAAATTAAAAAAAGAGGTTGACATGAAAGTCTGTTGATCTGAGTTTGATTCCTGGAACCCACAAAAAGTGGGAAGAGAACCAACTCCACAAAGTTGTCCTGTAACTTACACACACACACACACACACATGTACACATACATATACCTGCACACATACTCACATGTACACACATACACCTGCACACATACACACACATACACACACTTACTCTGTCACATGTGACTCCCCCATGTGTTTGAACCCCCACACAAAACAGCAATAGTAAATAAAGCATAGTAATTTAAAGGAAGAAAATAGCTGAGAGTTGTGTAAGCGTGTAGCCTCAGCATTCAAGGCGGGCCAGGGCTAGAAAGCAAGACCATGCACTCCCCTGCAAAAGGCTCTGAAGCTGGAGGTGCATGCGGAGAGGCTGCCCATGAACGCAGAGAGAGGTATTTCAGTCTGAATAAGGTCAGCCCCTTGGCTCTTGGGGGACAGTCCCCAAAGTAGCAAGCTCCCACTTCTTTGCCTCCAGAAGATTCAATGGGAGAAAGCTGGATACGATGAACTGTGAGCTGGGTAGGACCGCGAAGCTAGTGCTGTGTGCAGTCTCTTTTCCCTCAGCCCATTGACAGGTGTGATGGGAATAGTTAGGGGCCTTGTTAAAACCCACAGCTCCCCCTTCACACCCAGCTTGGATGTTTCAGCTTTCTGTCGCTCATTTTCATGTCCGTTCTTTAACAGAGAGCATCCAGAGTGTCTAGACACTCAAGCCCTCCCCACCTTCCGAAAGTCCTCACACCCTAGCCCCCGGAGAAAGCCTGCCTGGCCCGCCTCGCCAGCAGGACCATCTCTGCCTCTGCTTTGCCTTCCATCTGTGAGATATGTCCCGTTCTTTTCGGGACACAGACTCTGTGTCCTAAATATCTTTTCTCTCTATAACCACCAGCACAGTCCCTTATAATAGCATGTGCTCAGAATAAGAATGGCTGGCCTGTGGTCAGGTGGTATTTTCTATATTTTCACAGCAGAACAGAAGATGAAGCTGTTCTGTTTCTGGGTGGGCCTTCACAGCCAATGAGGAAAGCAGAGGGATGGAAAGATAGTCACTGGGGCAACGACATCACGTGTTCCCTGAATAGTAAAAACAAACAAACAAACATAGAATCAGTGGGTGGTGGTTTGCTTCCAGCAAGCACCCAGTGAAGGAGGTTAAAGTAGGAGGATCACCGCAAATTCAAGGCCAGCCTGGGCTGTATAGCGAATTCTAGGCACGCCTGGGCTAGGATAGTGCATCCATCTCTAAAAATAGATAAATTATCGGACTCGAGTTGAATAGACAATTCATTATCATTCAAATGGCATCTCAAGGCTACGAAAGCAAAGAAAGTGGGTCTAAATGGGCTTCACGCTTCTTCATCTTGGCTGTGCAGGGTGGTCTCACTCCTCGGCAGGAGCCCCCACAGCTTCCCTAAGACATAAGCACTCATCTGACCCCAAAGCAAGATTTTAGAATCACGGGATGTGCTGTTGGTGTCCAACTTTCAAGGGGAGGGCTGTTTCAGCAAGCAGGAGTGAGGGTGGGGTGGAGCTAAAGGGACCATGGAGGAAGCTTTCTAGAAGAATCCACCCTGAATTTTCTGGGGCGGAACCAAAGATTCAGGTTAGCGGAGAGGCGTAGAGAAGGCCTCTTTGGCATAGGGAAAAGGGCACGAACGGGTGAATCTACTCATTTACTTAATAAATGTACTGCATCTTTACCATGTCTGTTCACGTGCAAAGAAGTTGGGGGAAATGCCAGGGCAGAAAAGAAAAGGCACCTGTAGGAGGTGCACAGAGGGAGGTGACATTTAAATGGAGACCTCAGTGAGGAGCCAAAGCAGGACGACAGGAGGAGCCCTGGATGCCCTTTCCAGGCAGGTGACACATCTGAGCCAAAAGGTGGCAGGGATGTTGAGACATTTCCTGAAGGTGGATTGGTGTTTCTGGGTTTCCCCAGCGCTACCCCAGAGAGAGGGGCAGGTGGGACCAAAGAAGCGGGGTCTCTCCATGACATCTGCATTCATCTCTTGATCTTCGATCCCCTTTGCAGCCCAGTGACGGTGCCATTGAGGAGAACGAGTCACAGGATAGCAAGAAGCTAAAGGTGGGTGCATGAAGCTTACCCAGCAGAGACGCTGCAGGCTGTGTGGTGAGGGCATCCACATGGTGCTAGCTTGGGAATTATGGCTTTGAATCACAGCTCACTCTGTCCCGAGCCTGCTGTGTAACCTTAGGCCCTATAGCTATAAGACGCAGTTTGGACTAGAGAAACTCAAGTCATACTTTCCAGTCCCGACGTTGGTTGATAAAAGTTCAATTGCTGGTGGCTTTATCATATCCAGAACTAAGGAACTAGGGGAAAGCTCTTGAGGGGGCAGGGCCCAAGGTTTCTGAAAGACTAGCCTAAGGCACCACGTGGAAGGAGTTACGGGGAACTTTGATAGAAAGCAGGGCAGGTTGTAGTGGGTGGGGCTTGAGGGACTGAAACTTGTCCGTTTCTAAGTCTCCAAGTCTACTGTTATGGCCACGGCCACTAGGTGGCGGAAGAGTTCAGCCGGAATGGGATGGGGAGGCTGAACAGGTGGGTGTCTTCAGTGGTAATCTTAGGGTATTTCTTCTTGTTGCTATGAGCACGTGTTTGTCACATCTGTGTGCAGTACAGGTGTGAGTACTTCGGTGCCTCTGAAGGTCTCTGAGCAGCAGAGTGTAAAGTCAAAGTGGGCTCACAGTAGGTAGCCCTGGGCAGCTAGTTTGACTCACTCCCTGTGTGACCTTGGACAGGCCACCCCCCAGCGTGCTTCCCTCTTTCCTGTTGACGGGGCTCCCAGCATTGCTTATCCTTGGGCATGGGACAATGACAACAAAGTCAGGCGTGATGTCTGGACTGTAAAGGTCTGTGCCTGGCGCAAGAGCCTGCCTGTGCGGATGCGGATGAGTGTGTTTCTAGAAAGGTTACTTGCAGTGAGGGGCAACCTTCCAATAACAAGGTACCACTCATGACCTGTTCCCTGTGGAGTCTGTGGGACTCTTAAACTGCAGAAGGAGCTGGTCCTGGAGGAATCAAAGGGAGGATGAGAGGGAGTTGGAGGTGAAGGAAGCAGGGGCGAGGGGCGAGGGGTACCTTCTCTCTGGTCTCTGCGGGAAGGAGGTAGGTTGGCGGGGAGGCCGTCCTGCGGCTCCTCCCCGCACCTGAGCAGGGCACCTCTGAGGCCTCTGCTGCTCTCCCCTTGCTCAGCTCCCGTCCTTGCTGACCCGAGGGAGCAGCTCGGCTTCACTCCACAACAGCGTCATCCGCAGCACCATCTACCACCTCATGCTCCACAGCCTGGACCCCCTGGGGGAAGGTAAGCAAGGCCTCCTCCCACCTGATGGTCTGCCCCGTGTGCCTCCCCTCCTGCTACTGGAGAGAATCTGGGCCCTACAAATGCTAGTGACAGTGGGCTGGGCTGGGAGGACGGAACTGTCGGAAGAGGGGGTGGGCAGTGAAAGCTAGACAGTCTGGAAGACAAGGAAGAAGTTAGACCTGGGTGCACCAAGACAGAGCCACATGGAACATGGTCACTGGGGTCCTCAAGTAATACTCCATTGTATCCCTGCTCTGGTGTCCCTGCCCATAAAGCGAAAGGCCTTATCCACAGCCAGGGCACAAATGCCATCTGACCTATGTGGATCTGTGTTGGGTCAGATCCAATGTCCCACAGGTTGACTGGCCAGGGATGCTTCTGGGGACACCTCCTCCACAGCCCATGGCATTTCTCTTGGCTTCGTAGGCAGCTCTGGACTACCCTGCCAGCCTGGAGTCCTAAGGGACACCCTAGGAGATGTTGAAGGCACTTCTGGGGAGCAGAATGTAGTGTTTAAGGTGCTGAAGTTGAACTTGACAAACAATGACAGCAGTGGAGGTCCCATTGTCCACCTCTCCAAGTCCTGTCTCTCCTCTCACTTCCCTGAGCACAACCCCATGTGTCTCTTATCCCTTACCGCCCACCTCTCAGGAACTCACCACTTCCCTGTGAAATCATCCCCTTCTCTGGGTCTCCGGTGCAGAACTGAGCCCAAGCAGGATGCCCACCAGGAGAAATCTAGTTTTAGGCAAAGTCAAGGCATGCAATTAGTCAGGAGAGCCTGAATATGGCACAAAAAAATAGCCCCAGGGCGACCCCTGACCGGGCCTTTCTGGTTAAGGGGCACATTTTAGGATCTCAGACTGTCATAGGCCCTGACCCACTCCTTCAGACATAATACAGGCACCGTGTGTTTAAAAGTATGCTGTACTGGGAAAAGCAGTGTCAAGGGCAAGGCAGCAAGCCTTCCCAACGTGGGAGACGCTACCCCATGTGAACAGCACACCTGAGGAGTGGGCAGACCGGGGCAGCCTCAGGTCTGACATCTGGGGTGGACCTGACCTGGCTTCCAAAAGGACTCTAAGTCATGCCTAGCCCTTCCTAGCAGAACCGTGGAATCTAGCCAAGCCCTGAAAACAAAGAACTTCTCCTGGATGGACTGTGAGGAACCCAGACCCGGCCTCCTCTGTGGCCAAATGCCAGCTGGCCTACTTGTCCTAACAGGATTATGTGGTGTTCAGACCAGGCTGAGGTCACAGGAGATTGGCCCTAAGGAGATGATCCAGCCATGCTGGGTGGGGAGAGGGCACTCCAGGGAACAGTGACAGGGGAGACCTGGTATAGGGATTGTGGGTGTGGTAAGGCAGGGGCGACCCTTGAGATGAATAATTGCAGATGTGTCCTGGTATGCAAGGCTGCTCAGAGCTGGAGTCTGAGAGTTTGCCAGTACATTCACCCAGGAGGGGTTAGGTCTTCCCAGGCCTTTGTTCAAAAGTCATTCCAGATGTTTGCTTCCCTGGCAGCTTCCAGATGGCTATCCAGATGTTTTCACCCTTCCCTAATAGAGCATCTCAGATCCAGCTTTGTCCACAGGAGATGTTCCCCTTTCTCTGAACTCTCACCTCCCCAGGGTGGTGTTTCTCTCCCCTGGGCCCCACGATTCTCTTCTGCTCCGGGTCAGGTGTGTGTGTGTGTGTGTGTGTGCGTGCGCGCGCGCGCGCGAGCGTGCGAGCAGCAATGGAGAAGACATTCTACAGTAACCAGGGAAATGAGAGACGGGGCCAGTGATGAGGGTTGTGGGTTCTTCCAGCCAGCAGTCAGCTGATGTGCCTGTGCCAGGATGGGGATCCCGGGATGCCCTTCTTTGATAGTGTAATTCTCTGTTCATCGGGGTGCTATAGTTTTGATTAGTGGCTAGAGGGCCCTGGGCAGTCTGGATTGAGGAGACAGGCTTGTTCTGAAGACCTCAACACTCCAGGAAGATCAGCTGTGTTCCAGGACACCTCGAGGACCAGAAGGACCATAGCAGCAACCCTGCAAAGGGCATTTACAGTCAAGTCAGCAGCAGCTGAACGACTCTGAGGGTTTAGGGCACAGGAGGAAGGAGGAGATGCCTATTCTGGTCCAGGCAGAGGCCTCATTCCATCCGGCTTCCCAGCCCTGTACCTTCTTAGCATCCTTGCAGTCAGCCTGTGCTCCCTCCTCATTAGATGATCTCCAGGGTCTCTTCCATCCCAAACCCTCGGGAACACTGGGCATTTTCACCACAGAACTGTCGCCTGGGTGGAAAGTGGCAGATCACTACTGCTACCAGTTCACCATCATCATCGTGACAGCCAAAAAGTAACACAGTGACATCTAGGGGCTATTTTAAATACAGTCACACATAAATTCATCGGCCAGCTACAACTACAACTCTGGAAGGCTTTCCAGGTGAAGTGTCTGAGGGATGGATAGGCTAAGAGATCAGCCAGCTGAGCATCACTATAGTGTACCTGGTCAAGCGAAGATTCACACCCAGGTCCTCAGGCTCCAGTGTGGGCCTGTTGGTGGGGGACTCACACCCAGGACCTCAGGCTCCAGTGTGGGCCTGTTGGTGGGGGACTCACACCCAGGACCTCAGGCTCCAGTGTGGGCCTGTTGGTGGGGGACTCACACCCAGGACCTCAGGCTCCAGTGTGGGCCTGTTGGTGGGGGACTCACACCCAGGACCTCAGGCTCCAGTGTGGGCCTGTTGGTGGGGGACTCACACCCAGGACCTCAGGCTCCAGTGTGTGTCTGACGGTGGGGGAACCACTGCAGTGCTCATGCACTCTTGTGTCATGACTCAAGTTGGCGCTCTGGGTATATCATGGTGCTGCCATTTTCAGAGGGCACACAGGCTTCCCAAGTAACTCGATGTTCATGGAGAGAGCTAGCCTGCATTCAGGACAGAAACCATGTGGCCATTACCCTATGTGCCCATTTGTCCACCATCGTCTTGCCTGCTCTACCCCTCCCTCAAGCTACACAGCTGATGGGGGGGGGAGATCTTAAGCTCCTGCTTCTCAGTCCATCCCTTTTCCTTCTCTATGTCTAAGTTACTCATGTGAAGTCCTTTGTATGTTGCCTGGCACGGTCATGTAGGGAGAGAGGGGGCCTCCCTGTCCTTTTTCTTCTCTGAAAATCAGGGCAGCTATTCTGTGCCTGCCACTCTAGAGGTCTCCAGGAAAATCTATCCCAATAAAAACATGACACCCACTTGGAAGCTTTGTTTCTGGGCTCGATCCCTTGCTGCTTCTGCAATAAAGGGGAGGCTCATGGGCCCCGTAGAGCAGCCTGCAAAGAATGTGCTGCCCTGGCTTCTAGGAGACCCGTGAGGGGTAAGCTGCAAGGGGCCTTACAGATCATCTGGTCCATGAGAGGCCAAGCAGCCTCCCTGCCATCATTTCTCCACTCCCTGCCCATCATGGACATCACTGATTGATCCTAACAGGGATCCTACTAAGCTTAGGTCAGATGCCTCAAACGAGCCATCGCTTGAGTCCATGAAGGAAATACATCCTGCAGGTTGGTCCCCAATCCAGCCAAATGTTTATCAGAGAGAAAACAGGAGTAGCAATAGCTGGTCAATGGTGATGGGACTTAGCCATGTTTACAAATGGGGCATCAGAGGTAGGTCTTGAGAGCTCAGACACAGACACCACAGGCCTCGGCCAGCCTTCTCTGCCCTGTACTGCCGGGCAGTGCGGAGTCCTGACTGGACACTGAGGCTCCAGATAAGATGTCTTCCTTTCTCCTTCACAGCCCACCCCTCCAAGGACAAGCAGGAGAGTTTGAATCAGGAGGCCAGAGCCCACCCCCAGACCAAAGCAGAGAGCAGTCCTGACGGTGAGAGGATGGCTCACTGGCCGCAGGCCAGGTTTCTCCGGCCCCACCTCCTGTCACAGCCTGGGTAGCAGACACTGAGGCCCACGTCAGCCAGTGTCTCTCAGGCTCTTCCTTCAGTCATGCTTTTCTGCCTCCGGCTCCCAGTAGCTTCCTCCTTGCTCTCCGCAGGTGGGGCAGGCAGGGAAAGGCCAGGGGAACACTCAGCCCCCTCTTCTAATTTCCTAAACCTCATTCCAAGTAAGAGTGTGTTCCTTCTTCCTGTGACTTCTACACAAGGACATTGTAGCTGTGAGTGATCCGGAATGAGTGACCCTACCAAGGGAAGGTGACTTGGAGCCGGCAACAGAGGCCTAGCATCTGTTGGCAGCTATGATCAAGGAAGTAGGACAGCAATTGACTCATGGGCTCTGCAACACCAGGTTTACCTGACTTACTCAGCAGCCCATAGAGGGAGCCAAACAGCAGCCATTCTTTCTATTCCATAGCCAAGGAAACCAAGGTTCAGAGAGATCAAGTGAACTGCCCCAAGCCACACAGCCAAGAGGTCGTTAGCCTGTAGCTAACATGAGCATTTCAGATTTTGTCCAAGGCCCAGCTCTCTGCAGTTCTGATCGATGGCCTCTGAGCCGCTTGCCTTTGAACTCAGTGGGATCCCTTTCAAAAGACCAGCCCTCCCTGCTCCATTTAGTTCCAGAATCCCTGGCCACAATTCTAGGAAATGCCTGCAAACTCAGGGGGACGCTTCCCAGATGCCATCTTGTCCCTCACCTATTCAGAGGACAGAGAAAGGACCACTCCTATTTTTCCAAACAAGCATCCTTAGCCCCTCCTGCCAAAAGCCCTGTAGTTTCTCCCGCCTGTCTCTGCAGCTGCTCTCAGAACCTGCTCAGCTCTCCCCTAACCCGTGTTTGTCCTTTAAGAGGAGGAGCCAGCCACGCTCCCTGCGGTCAAGGTCACTCCAGCCCAAGCTCCAGGCGCCAAGGGAGATCAGGAGGAGGATCCAGGTGGCCAGGTAGGCACCCAGCTGGAGGAATTTCAGAGGCCAAGGAAGGGTTTTCTGGCCAAAATACTTCCAACTTGAAGGCCTGAAATCCAATCAAGTTTATCCCTGTGGGGTGAACCTTCTCTGAAATCAAAATGTTCACACTTTCACCTGAGCATGAGATTATATATATGCACACACACATATATATCATATTTTATATATGTGTATATATGTATACACACATACTGATGTGTATGCACGACTACATGCTGTAAGAACGTAAGGAATTACTAGTGTGTCAGCAAAGCAACCAGAGACTAAGTCCAGGTTGTCCAGACCACCAGTGGCTAAGAGGGCTGCTGGGTAAGAGGCCTTGGCATGACCCGAGGTCCTTCATTGCTGCGCTTCCTGCCTCGTCCATAGCCTGCTTGGTCTTGAGGGCCTCTTCATCCACCATTCTCAGACCATGTGGGATTTGTCTCCACGCTTTTCTACCAGCTCCTCAGAGTCCCTTACCCTCTGTCCCCAGATAGCCTTATCTAGCCTGGTATGGGTAGAAAGCTTCCTTGCCAACAACACTTCCCTGATGCACCTGAATCCAAATGCCCAGGGCACTCTGTACCTGACATGGGGCTTCCACAACTGCCTCCTTGTTTTCCAAGCCTCTTCTAGTTCCCTGACCAGCTAGCAGGTTCCTGAGGACAGGACGCAAGTCTGAGTCATCTTTACCTCCACCTGAGGGAACCATCCTGCCTGGCACACGCTGCAATCAGCACAGGTTGAGTGACTGGCAGCAAACAGATGCTTAGGTGCACGTACCAGTCCTGCCCTTTCTATTCAGCGCCCAGAAGCACACTTTACGGATACTCACAGTCCAGCAATTTTGAGACTCAGTCTCGAAGGTGTCCGTCCCCTTCCAGGATGTGAGCACCAAGCAGGCCCACTATGGCCAGCTCATGTAAAAAATGAACAAGCGGATGTAGAAGCTTCTGGAGCCTCAGCCCCGGAAATGAAGCTGAACCTCATAAGAAGCTGGGTTGAGGCCCGAGGTCTCCACTCATGGAGTGGCTAGTTAAACAAGGTCATCTAACTGTGGCGGGCTCTATGCCATAGCATGCCCGATGCCGGAGAACCCAGAAACCTTCAACTCAGGAAGGGGCTGTCCTGTGAAGAGTACTTAGGCTTGTTCCATATGTCTCCAGAGGGTAAAACTATGTGGTGGCGGGGCTTTGATACAGATAGTGACTTCAAACCAGTCTATGCTGTGAAAGGGGGGCAGACGCTGCTGTAGGTGGAAGTGCTCCAGCCTTGGAGACGCCCAAATACAAGTGGGACGACCACGGGTCGGAAGCGGTGATGGGACGTTTGCCGCATCTTTGCGCCAGTTTTCTCCTCTGAATATTTAACTGCTCAGATGCTCTGACAACAGCAAAAACAAAAACAGGGAGCCACAGGGATGCAAATCAGGCAAGATTTTTACCATACACTAACCTGTTGTCTTTGGATTGCAGGGAGATGTGGGTGAGGCTAAACACACGGGAGATGCGACAGGTGCAGAGGGTGAAACTCAACCAGGTGAAGGGGAAACCGAGGCAGAAGGAAAAGAAGATGAACACGAAGGGGAAACTGAGGCAGAAGGAAAATATGAGCATGAAGGGGAAGCTGAGGCAGAAGGAAAAGAAGATGAACATGAAGGGGAAACTGAGGCAGAAGGAAAAGTTGTTGAACAGGAAGAGGAAACTGAGGCAAAACGAAAAAAAGATGACCACGAAGGGCAAAGTGAAACCCAAGCGGACGACACTGAGGTAAAAGATGGTGAAGGTGAAGCAGAAGCCAAAGCTGAAAATCAGTGTGAGACCACCCAAGGTGAGACCACCCAAGATGAGAAAGATGCAGATGATGGAGGGGGAAGTGATGGAGGGGACAGTGGAGAAGAGGAAGATGACGAAGAGGATGAGGAAGAGGAAGAGGAGGAGGAGGAGGAAGACGAGGAGCCTCTGTCCTTGGAATGGCCCAAGACCAGGCAGAAGCAGGCCATTTACCTCTTTCTTCTGCCCATTGTGTTCCCACTGTGGCTGACAGTGCCCGATGTACGGAGGCAGGTGAGAGTACCTAGCTGTGTCCCAGGCTGCGCATCCTGAGAGAGGCTAGGAGCCTTAGGTACCAGGAAGAAGGCTGAGAAACCTAGCTTGGGAGACTTCACCCATGAGGATGTGGGATGGGGCTGCAGCTCTGAGGGGGACCATGTACCACACTCTGAGTCAGGAGCCAGAGACCTCAGGGTGCCTTATGTCTGCCACCATGAGCATGAACCAGTCCATTCTTAATTCTAATCTCCGTATTCTGGCCTTAGTTTGGGAACCATGGCCTTGTACCCATTCATAGTTCACAGAGATATTCTGAAAACCCAGGGTGGTAATTGCTATTTCTCCATATTGTTCTCTCTCTGTAGGGAAACTCTAACGCACCCCATCTAAAGTCCAGACAGGGATGGGGCAGAGGCAAGTTGCAGAAAGCAAACTCAAGTACTCAGCTGGGTCTCTGGCCTGGTTCTGTTGAATACCTGCTAGACAGGCCTGACTCCCCTGCAACTCCTTACCGATGGCTCCAGGGGTTCCCTGGGAAAGGGCCACAGCTTCACCCAGACTGCTCCCCATCTTCCTCATTATTACCCATCCTCTAGACCTCATCGCATTTTGGAGTTCCCTGGAGTTCCCTCAGAGAGGGGGCCAAAGACCAGGAGTCCTGCAACTCACTTCTCTTCCCTTTCCATCTCCAACAGGAGTCCAGGAAGTTCTTTGTCCTCACCTTCCTGGGATCCATCATCTGGATAGCCATGTTCTCATACCTCATGGTATGGTGGGCTCACCAGGTGAGTGGGCAGTAGCTCACTCTCCCATCAGCAGGTCCTAGTGCTTGTCATTTAAGATGCAATTCAGTGTTCTGGACTATCAAGATCCAGTGTGCCTGTGGTCCCCACGCTGTTTCAAAGTAGCCATTTATTCCGTCAATCATTTTCCAAGTATGGCTTTCCTATCTTAATTGGTATTCAGTTGTATCATGGCATAGGAGGCCCTTCACATCCAAATTCCAGTGGACCGGGCTGGCCTGACCCCCCCAAACTGACAAAATCCATTCCCTCTAAGTTGACTTAGTCAGGTCTGCTTGCCAGCATTGTACCATGGTGCCTGAGCACCATGAGATTTTGTGTTCTGCCTAGAACAGCATTTATCACAGAGCTGTGATTGCAAGCTTTGCCCTAGGCTAAACAGACGGACAGCACTGCCCAAACTGCTGTCTGCAGCCTGGCTTAGCTCCCAGTGCACCGCATAGGTCTCATGGCCCCAGAAATGAAATGTTGACCCAGCAGACTGTTGGGGAGGCAGATCTCTGGGACATGCAGAGTTGTCTGTCGGATGACGGTGAAGGACAGAGCTGTCGTCATTAGACTTTTAGTACCCTCAGTGAAGAGCTGTGTGGTTCCCCGGAGCCTGGAGCTGGGGCCTGACTCTGTCTCACCTATCCCCATCCCATCCCTGTCTTGCAGAGGGCACGGGCAGAGCCTTGGTGCTTTCTTGTTAAGCAGTGTGCCACAGTGCTGTGAACGCTCAGATTCCCTGCCTCCCGCTGTTGCCATGGCTCCTGACCACTGTTGTTTCCCCAGGTTGGTGAAACCATTGGGATTTCAGAAGAGATTATGGGTTTGACGATCCTAGCAGCAGGCACTTCAATTCCTGACCTCATCACCAGTGTGATTGTTGCCCGGAAAGGCCTGGGAGACATGGCTGTGTCAAGCTCAGTGGGCAGTAACATATTTGATATAACAGTGGGGTGAGTGGTGATCTTCCTTTCTAAGGCATATTCAGCATCACTGGAAACTGCATTGGCTCAGCTGGGTGGTTTTCTTCTTCCTTTATTACAGATGCAACAAAAGGGCATTTGTGTGGTTTGTCCTTTTGAGGCAACGGCATACCCTCCCTTCATTCACCACAGCCTTAAGAGTAACTGACTGGAACGTAGATGACCTGAGGAGTGAGGTCCATTCATCCCCTCTCCCAGTCCAGTAAAACGCTGCCCTTAGGAGGCAGAGAAGGAAGGGGCTGGAAGGAGCCATGTCAGTCCTTCTTCGTGTGCGAGCTCCTGCTAGCTCAGAAGCTTCAAATAGCCTTTTGTATAAACAGGAACTGCCCATCCTCCTGTGTAACTGTTCCCTCCTTGGTCCTGGTCTCCGAGGGCTGTCAGAGCACCTGGGCCGCTTTCATTTCCCTGGTCATGGCTTGGATTTGGTTATTTTGCTTGTATGTGAATGTTGGGGAGGAGCTGCGGGTGGTGTAGGAATCAGAAAGATCTGATCACTAGAGAAAATGCATCCCGAGGTTAGTTCTTAATCATAAAAACTGGAAAATTAGTCACACATTGATCAGGGTTAGTCCTATATATATCACTAAGCTTATGGGGGTGGGGTGGGACTCGGACCAAGGGCACTTTTTCCATTGTTTTTGTTTTTTGTTTTTGTTTGTTCTTTGTTTTTTGCTTTTTTGAGATGGGATCTTACTAGCCCAGGCTAGACTCAAACTGAGGATCCTTCTGCCTCAGTGCCCAGTGCTGTGCTAACAGGCCTGGCTTGGAGTACTTGTTTTAACTTAGCCTCTCAGCAATAAGCCTTGAACCCTTTGCCAAGTAATTTTGTTTCCCTAACCTGCATTTCCTCATCAGTAAACTGTGGTTAATAATTTCTGTTTACTTCATCTTGTGCATGTGAGAACTCGGAAAACCTTAACCCACTAGTCCAGCACGGGGGCGGGGCGTGGAGGGTATTACAAACGGCCGCTGTTCACGCTGGCTTTCTCTTGCAGCTTGCCTGTCCCTTGGCTCCTCTTCTCTCTCATCAACACTCTGCAGCCTGTTCCGGTCAGCAGCAATGGCCTGTTCTGTGCCATCGTCCTGCTGTTTCTCATGCTCCTGTTTGTGATCTTCTCAATCGCATCGTGTAAATGGAGAATGAACAAGATCCTGGGCTTCACCATGTTCCTTCTTTACTTTGTCTTCTTGATAATCAGTGTGATGTTAGAAGATCGAATCATATCCTGTCCTGTATCTGTCTGACTCAGTCACGGATATGCATGATGGGCATAGACCAGAAGCCCATGCCAGAAGCTCCTGCCCCTCTTGCCACACCAGTCCAAGGATGAACATGTGAACTGGACAGCCTGGACCCTCTGAAGTGACTGCCATCGTGACCGAGGCTTCTCTTTGTAAACTCCTGCAGCTCCTGGTGGATTGTGAGCACTTCCTTGGTAGGGAGAGTCCTTACCACCCAGGCCTGCAGCTCTCACAGAATCAGCAGGACAACCCCTGCAGCTGGACAGCTTTCCAAATGAGACCTGGGATAAGGCTGGGATACAGGCACCCTGGCTCACAATTCCCTGGTCACTCCTGAAGAGCCTCTGGCACAGGGATGTAGGTGCTGGAGGCTTGCTCTCCTGGCTACGGCCCCACACACATGCTGCCGTGTGCTATTCCTCTCGGTGCAAATGTGAAGTCACATCAGGTCTGCAATCATTATAAGTTCAGATAATGAGCACAAGGAGCTAAGGCCATGGAAGGGCAGGAATAAATTATCACCATACCCTATAGTCCCGGAAGATGCACGACAATGTTTCCTATGCTAAAAGTCATCAGCTTTTATTGTTGTATTTCTGAAAAATGAAATTAAAACAGTAAACAGCCTAAAATGAAGTGTATAATTTGTCTTAATCTAGAGGCAGAGATTTCAGAAAAAAAAAAACCTACTCAGGGCTATTTAAAATTTGGTACTTTCTGGAAAATCCATGCTTGTTTTGTCTCTATCAGTGGTCACTTCAAAGGCTTAGATATTTTGACACAGCTTCCCTGCTGCCCCTTCAGGACTGACATCTGACACTAAAGAGTCAAAGGGATGTATTTGCAGAGAGGCTCAATCTGACGTATAATAGAGCTAGGGCTCAGTGCTATGCTTGTATGCTAACCTAGACAGGACTGCAGAGCAAGACTAGTCCTGTGTATAGTTTATCAGTGGACCTTGAGACAATTTACAAAGGAGAAATTAAAAAATGCTTAGCACAATGATGATATAGTGAGAAAAAAAGTACTGCTTGCTATGCAGGTTAGGCTGGCCTCGAACTCACAGAGATCTACCTGCCCCTGCCTCCTGAGTGCTGGGATTAAAAGCATGGCTGCTACACCTGGCTGAGTATCTATTTTTAAGGCCATAAAGGACACTGAAAAAAGTTAAGGTTAAATATTTTCTATATGCTTGCATATTAAACACCATTGGTTGTTGCTTTTATTAGCACCAAACTGCAGAGAATGCTAGAAACAAATTTTTCTTATCATTGGTTTCAGAGTACAAGGAGCGTAAGTGTCTACAGATTATGATGGCAGACTCATCTAAAGTCATAAAGATCGGAATGATGTGGTAACATGCAAGAAGATTGCGGGACAGACATGAAGTAAATACAATTGGTCATTCTGGTGTTGGAAGGCATTCGAGTATTCATCTTTAAGATGGGTTGTACTTCCTCAAGATTCCCATGTTTTTGGAAATAACTTTTATTAAATATTAATGAAAACTGTGAGTTTACTTGAATTTTATTTTACAAACATGAATGGACTCACTCCATCTTTAGCTCAACCTATCAGAAAGCTCGAATGGAAAGACTAATAAAGACTATGATATGTTTAAATTCCACTCTCTCTCTCTGAACATGTTTGTATGTGTACATGCGCGTAAATGTGGAGGCTGACACTGGGTTTCTTTCTCAATCACTTTCTACCCTTTCCTGAGATGGGCTCCCTTTCACTAAGCCTGAACCTCACCGATTAGGCTAGGCAGGCTCCTTGTCTGTCTTCGGCCCCAGACTGGGATTAGCTGTCTTTTAAGTGGGTGGTGGGGATCAAACTCAGTCCTGTGCCTGCTGTACGAACAGTTCACCTGCTGAACCAACTCCTCCCGGGTCCCTCAAGTTTCATATTCTCAATTATCCTCCTCCCTGGTGCTACTTTTCTATGGAGCCTCCACAGGCCATGGTTGAAGAGGAAAGAACAATCCTGTGGAATGGAGGCCAATGCCAAAATTCTGGGAACCTACCTGTCGTCAGCAGCCAGCTCCAATTTGCCTCAAGGATGTCACCTTGCCAAAGATCTGATGTTCATCAGGCTGAGTGGTGGGCAGTGAGATATTCCGCAACTATAAAACCATTTAATTATCAAAACTAATCAGAATGATCTTATATCCTTTCCCCAAGCAGCCGAATTTCTGGCATCTTCCTTTGCCCACAAAGGAAGTCCCAACCACTTCATGCTGTGACAGGAAAGGACAAGCACCAAAAGGAAGCTGGGCTTTTGGCAGATGACTGGGGATTCACCACTGCGTTGTATCTTTTAAGATGTGTATGCATACTTGTGTACTAGGGGGTGTGTGTATGCTCACATACGTGCATGCACCTGTAGAAGTCACAAGAGGGCATTGCATCTCCTGGAGTTGAAGTGGGTGCGCCCTGATGTGGACCCTGGGATCCTGGGAGAGGAACTACTTCAGAGGCACAGAAAACGTCACTTTAATTAACGGATTTCACTAACGTGTGTGTGTGTGTGTGTGAGTGTGGGTGACTGTCAGAAGAAAGGTCAGATCCTTTGCAGCTGGAGTTCCAGGCCGTTGTGAGCCTTCTCGGGGGTGCTGGGAACTGAATCTGAATCATCTGGAAAAGCAGCGAGTGCTCTTAACCACTGAACCGTCTCTTCATCCTCTAATAACTTAAGTGTTCTCTTTTCTTTTTCTCCTTCATGATACATTTTTAAATCCTGGAGATTAAGCCCAGGGCCCCCATCATGATAGGCCAGTGGTTCTCAATCTTCCTAATGTTGCAACCCTTTAATACAGTTCCTCATGTGTGGTGACTCCCAACCAATTATTTTCATTGCTACTTCATAACTGCAATTTTGCCACTGTTATGAATCATAATGTAAATATCTGTGTTTTCCAATGGTCTTAGGTAGACCCTGTGAAAGGGTCATCCAACTCCCAAAAGGGTCTCAATCCACAGGCTGCGAACCACTGTGCTAGGCAAAGGCAGCACCACTGCGTTGTATCTTTTAAGATGTGTATGCATACTTGTGTACTAGGGGTGTGTGTGTATGCTCACATACGTGCATGCACCTGTAGAAGTCACAAGAGGGCATTGCATCTCCTGGAGTTGAAGTGGGTGCGCCCTGATGTGGACCCTGGGATCTGAATTCAGGTCCTCCAGGAGAGCAGTAAGGATTCTTAATTGCTAAGTCATCTCTCCAGCCCCAATCTGCATAACTTCTAAAAGAACCAATTAAATTTGTGTTACATACTTACAAACCCACCATAACTTACTAAAAGCATGTCTTTTAAAAGAGATAAACCAGTATGCTAACACGCCAAGATAATGTTGAGATGGCCCTTTCATTTGATAGCAAACAATCTGCAGTATTCCCAGAAGCGAATTCCATCTCACTGTCTGGGCCTAGAAGTCTGAGCTGAGGCAGGTGGGAGTGTGAGCTGGCAACAGTGCCTGCAGGTTGTCCTCCCTTGCCCTGCAGCTGTGGGGTTTTGATGCCCTAGTTATAGATTTGGGCCATATTTCTAAAAATATGAAGAACTTCCCAACTAAATGAATTAAAATTTTATATAATAAATGAAAATGGACCTATCTGAAATGTTTGAAAATTGTTTTAAAATAGCTACTCTCTGTATTTTGAACATTATATTGTACTGTCACCAACAGACATGAAAATGGTTTTAACTGTTTCTTTTTAAAACAACACTGTCTATATCAGAATTTTCATTTAACAGTTGAGTTCTGAGGGGGCAGGAACTGAACTTTATATTGAAAGTACAGTTTGGTAGGTAAATGGAAATAAATGATTGCCCTTATCTGCAGGTAGAGCCTGTAAGTGTTCTGGGATTGGTCCCTGTGAAGAAAAAGTGCTCTCTGAGCAAGCCTGCCCGCCCCTAGGGGGTCACTAGCACCTGGCAGGATATCAATGCCCAAGTCAGCCTGCACGGTAAAGGTCTGCTCCTGGTCTGCAGGTCCGTCATGGTAATCAGTGATTAAAACCTGAAAATGGTCCTGTATAGACTCATCCACCAGTTGCTCGATTAAAAGAAATCATTTGGAAATAACTCTTTATATAAAACTCTTTAAAGGAAGCCATCTAGAGAAGAGTAACTGTGGAAAGGCTCAGTGGAGTCTGCCTCAGAGTGTGAGTGCACAGACGTCAGACTCACACAATGCCTAGGCAGATGAGTGCCCTGCTTCTCCTGTAAACACAGTTTAGAAGGTGACTATGCTTTCCTTGGGCCTAGCAAAGGACGGTAGTATGGGAGGGGGGGGAGTGATAAGACTCCAAGTCCTGAGGATGATGATGTCCACGAAGGCAGGCAGCTGCTGGGATTCAGTTCACATAGAGTTGGTGCCGAATCTAAGCAGGATAAGCACATTAGTCACAGTACCAGTCCAAGGCCTCCCAAAGGCTGCTCGCTCTTTCCCTTACTCTGACACGAAGTGCCTCAAAGCAGCCTTTAAATTATGGTGGAAGAAATAAAATAATGCTGAACTACTGCCCATTTTAAAGAAGTATTTTCCGTCCATGAGTTAATTAGAATACAATGCAATACAATACAATAGAATCAGCTAATGCTTGTTAGTTGCACCAATAAATACTAATTATCAACACAAAGTAAAAATAAGGATTTATTGCCTAAAATGCTGAACCAACATTTTCAGGGTCATTTCTCTATATACAAAAATGAGAAGACATACTAGACAACTTTATTATAGATCGGTTGATAGTTTCGAGGGTTTAAAGGTTATAAAAAAGTTAAGAAAAAAGACAATCAGAAGATGAATAGCTATATACTGTGAAATCTGGCAACGGGAGGAAAATGTTGAATATTTAAAGTAGTATATACATACACAGAGAAATGTTCAAACCTATGAGAGTCTTAAACAAACTGTACTAACAGGAGCGTGGTTTATTTCCAGCAACTGAAACATAAGCAAAACTAAGAATGAAAAGTAAGAACTTAGTGGAGGAAAAGACACTGCTCTCCAACACTATCGGCTGCACTTTCCCAAGATGTGTATGTTCAACAAAATACTGAAAACCTGCTTGCAGTAAATTGTTTCAGAAGATGATCCTTCTTTTAGTTTTCTTTGGCGCAGGACTGACTGAGTTCTGTTCCAGGTTTTAGATATTATTTTAAAAAACTGTCTTCATACAATAATAATTCCTAAAGATTAAAAGCAAGAGAAACACAACTTTATTCAGAGACAGAAAACAAAACTCAGGGTAGAGCTGGGAGACAGAAATCGTGCTCAGTTTTCTGAGTGAGTATGAAGAGCCGTTTTGTCTCTGTCAGACGAACTCTCCTTCCTACACAGTTTACATTACAGAAACAGTAGGGAACAGTGCAAGCTGTCCTCATAAGGGAAATAAAAAGAAAACACAGACAAGAACCCATATCAACCCAATTCCTGTTTGAAGGGATGTTTACCACCAGTGCCGACAGCCTCCTCTCTCAAATCTTCTTGGAGAATGAGAAACGGTAGAGGAGAGTGAGGCTGGAGTGGATCCGACAGGAGCGGCAGGTACGCGTGTGCGTAGCACCAGTGTGTTCAAGTAGGTAAGTTCAGCTCCACCAGCTGAACTCAAGATTCACATTTTATGCTCTCTGAGGGCAGAGCTGTGAGTGCTTCAGCCTGGCTGCTCAGTGGTGGCAGGAACCGAAAGGCAGCTTTTCTGTGGCTGAACTGGTGGGTCTCAGGGATCTAAGGTATTTCCAGGTCGAGCATCATGTCTGTTGGCTTTAAACCCAAGTCTGAGACCACCCCTTTCCTCTTCCTTTTAAAATGGCTAGCCTTCCTTTATACACGACAGCCTTTGCAAATGTACATACAAATACTGAAAAGACATGGACAATTTTAAAAGGCAAAGGATGCTTTTTTCTTATGAGAAATTATTTTAAAAAGTGATCTTAGAAATAATATAACTAAAAATACATTTTAAAAGTCAATTTAATACTCACGGTGTTTGAACATTGAATTTATTGTCTGATTATGTATAGTTCTACATTTTAGATTCCATGACCTTCAGATTCTGAAGCTTGTTGAAAGAGCTAAGTTCCTCAATATGGGAAATTCTCTCTGGCTGTACTTTTAGACGGTTACTATATTTTTGCTTTCAAAAAATACTTTGAATCTCTCTCTATACATATTATTAACAGAATACCCCATTAAACCATATTTCAGATACATATTTTATAGTACAATTTGCTTTATACCCAATATTTTGGGTGAAATTTAGAAGAATTAGTTGTCAACGGAATATCCCCTATGTAAGTTTTCACATAGAATATTAATATTTAAGTTGCTATTTGGATTGTGAGCTATTTTCCCTGGGTACTGTCTGCATCTACTCACAGTGGAGGAGACTGGACCATGGCGGAGGCACCCTGGCTGGCACTCCCTGCACTGGCTCATGCCCTGCCTTTCCATCACTCACTCTCAGTGGTCAGACTTAGAGGTGCTAGCATGCAATCCGAGGACACCAGCACTGATGAGTTAAAATTCATTCTCTCAAGTAATAAAAAAAATATATAGGTAGATAAACATATAGAGATTTGCAGCTGTGCTAATTACTTCAAAGACCAGAGACAAAGAAAATAAACACTTGTTTCATAAGTTTAAATTCATTTTAAGTTTGCTATATTAAATTTAAAAATTAAAAAAATATCAACTTACTATAAACAATTTAAAATATGTATAATACAACTTCATGGTCAAAGCATTTGAACAGTCCATGAAAACAGGAGATACTTGGGCTTACATTTCTGCTTAGGTTCCATACATGATTTTCTACCCATCTCTTTCAAGAGAAACCATAAAACAGTTGTGTAATCTTGTGGCAACCAAGTCTTTAAAGAGACTTTCTCATCACAAAGTACTTAATTACTTCACAGGGGAGCAAGAGAAGAAAGAAATGGGAAGTGGCTCTCTCCCTATCAGTCACTGTTCTCTTACGAAAGCATTCTGTACACAGCGACCTAAAATTTCCAACCCATTTACAAGTGCATTTTCAAAAACTGAAGTTTAGAGTCTAAAAGTGTTACTTTGTACACTGACTATACAATATATATCGAATGTATACATATACACACACATCTTAAAGGTAAGGTTCTCCAAAGGTTTTTCGGCACTCCATCACCCCAGTACTTGGCGGCCTGTCACAGTTATGTGTATTCTTGACCTGACTGGGTGTGAGACGATCATATGCCATCTTGTACTCTTTGTCAAATGCATCTGCAAAATGCCATTAAGAAATAAAAGAAGAAATTAATGGCTGATATTGACCACAGTCAAGTAGCTATAATAAAAAGAAAAATTATGGGGACAAAGAATATGTTTCAAGGGTACTTCTGCCATCCACAGGTTCACAAATGTTGAGTCTGAAGAAGGGAGCCTTAGAGTACAATGCATTTCAGAGGTAGGTAGCACAGATCAAACATCAGTGCTAAAACCACTGAACACCATGCATACCTTCTTGTAATCTGCCTTTCATAATCAATTAAACAGTAAGAATAAGCAATGGAGCAAAGCCCCTTGTCATAGCCCAGCAGTCAAGGTACAGCAGAGCTGAGGCAGGAAGACCATCAATCAGCTAAGGCCTGCCTGGGCTACAGAATAAGATCAGGGAAACCCCGACTCAAAACAAAGATTACAGCTCCGTGGTGGCACACTTGTCTTGCACTGCGCGTCTGAAGCTCTAGGTTCAATTATTAGCACTGAGAGAAGTGAAAAAAAAAGTCATAGTAATTTTCCTTAACAAAACAAGATTAAGAAAAAAATGAACCCATAATTTCTTTACCTTTACGATTTAATTTTTTTTTACAGTTAAATTTTAGTGCTGGGTGGCAGAAGCAGGTGGATCTCTGTGAGCTAGAGGCCAGCTTGGTCTAGACAGTGAGTTCCAGGACAGCCAAGACTACATAGAGAAACCCTGTCTTTAAAAAAAAAAGAAAGAAAGAAAAAGAAAAGAAAGGAAAAGAGCAAGGTCTGAATATGCTCTTGGATTCTGCTGGGGTGGTGAAAACAAGCCAAGTGCTTTCTCTTGGCACCCTTCCTGTCTCATCAAAGTTCAAAGGCCTAGCTCAAAGAATGCATTCTTCATTTTCTCAGGTTCTAGCCACTTCCTCAGTGGCTCCAGGGACTGAAACTCACTTAATCGTCTGCTTTTCCTAACCAGTTTTATCGGGCATTTTCCCTGTGGCTGTCCATGCCTATTTCTAGACTCTATTTGGTCCCACTGACTTTCCTGCCTCCATCTGCACTGGCCATATAACAGTGACATGGGCTTCTGCAAGGGAGAGCCAACTAATGAATATTTCTTTATATATTTCGTGACTATTCTTTTCTGGTCAGATAAGCTATGTAAATTTGAGATACTCAGACTCAGCTTAGGCTGGTCCTGATTAAACTTATGATCCTCTTGTCTCAGCCTCCCAAGTGCTAGCACTATAAGCATGCACTACCATGCTTGGCTCATCAATTTTTACTAAGGAATAATATTCTATTAGACAAATATGACACATTTTGTGTCTCCACTTCTCAGGCAAGGGATGTTTGGACCTTCCCCATTTTGGTTCATGTGAATGTTACAAACATTTCAAGTAGAAGCTTTGAGTGTATGCTTTCAGTTATTCTGGGCATGAGTGTAGAAGCAGGACTGTTGGGCCATACAGGAACTGTGTTAACTTTTGATGACACATAGAACTACTTCGGGTGGCTACATCAGTTTATATTCCCACCAGCACCATATGTTCTCCACCTTCTTTACATCCTTTCCAACACTTGACTTGTTCTTTTCTTTCTTTCTTCCTTCTGTGTTTGGTTTTGTTTTTCAAGAAAGGGTTTCTCTGTGTAACTTTGGAGCCTGTCCTAGAACTCTCTCTGTAGACAGGCTGGCCTCTAATTCACAGAGATCTGATTAAAGGCGTGCACCAACACCACCCGGCCTTTTCTGTTTTTCTTATGACAGGTATTCTAAAAGTTGTAAAGTAGTAACTACTGTGTGTTCTTTTTGACTTGCATTCATGAATGAATAAAGATAATGACTATCTTTCAGTTAATTTGTATATCTCCTTTTGGAGAAATGTTCAAATCCTTTGCCAAGTTTTAAATTGGATTATTTATTTTTGTTATTTTTTTGCCCATGATATAGTGGATGGATGATTGTATACCCCTGCACATATAAGCAGCATTAATTGGACTTAGTGTGCCATAAAAAAAGACATAAAATTTGGAGGTAGATATCTTGGGGGGACAGAAAGGGAGAGAGGAAATGGGAGATGGATATAACAAAGATATATTGTATATACAAATGAAATTTTTAAATTTTAAATAAAAGCTCTTTATATTGAATACTATGCTTTCTATCAGATATATGATTTTGCAGATATATGAGTTTTTGTGTTTTTTTTCATTTTTTGATGATGTCTGCTCATGAACACAGGCTTTAAATTTTGTCCAGAGTATAGTGTGTGTGCGTGCACTTGTAAAGGCCAGAGGGCACCTGTGGAATCGTTCCTCTGTCCACCTTTATGTGGGTTCTAAAATTGAACTTAGATAGACAGATTTGTGCAGAAAGCATCTTCACCTGCTGAACCATCTCATAGGCCCTTTCCTTGTGTTTTTGTGGTACTTTTAAGAAACTGCTCTCTTCTCCAAGGTCATGAGGATTTATGCCTATGTTTTTTTCAAAGGTTAATATATTTGTATCACTGAGTCATCTTGGTAGGTTGACTCTTGTTATAAAATGGTTTTGGTCTCTAATTAATTGTGTGTTTAATTGATTTTTACATAGTCACCGAAGTTCTCTTTTGAGGATGTGTCCTGGTACATTGTTTGTTTGCTTTTTTTTTTTTTTTTTTTGTCAACTTGACACAAGCTAAAGTTATGGGGAAAAGAAATCTCAGTTGAGAAAATGTCTCCATTAGATTGCCTGTAGGCAAGTCTGACAAGCATTCTCCTGATTAGGGAGCTTGTGCCGGTCCAGCCCACTGTGGGTGGTGCCACCCCTGGGCAGGTGGTTCTGGATTGTATAAGAAAACAAGCAGAGCAAGCCATGAGGAGTGAGACAGTAGGCAGCGCTTTGGAATGGCTTCTGCTTCACTTTCTGCCTCTAGGTTCCTGCCTTGAGTTGTGCCTTGATTTCCCTCGGTGATGGATTATGACTTGGGAATTATAAACTGAAATAAACTCTTTCCCTGCCACGTTGCTTTTGGTCATGGTGTTTATTACAGCTATAGAAATCCTGACTAAAGGCCTGGAGAGATGGCTCAGTGGTTAAGAGCACTTGTTCCTCTTGCAGAGGGCCTGGGTTCGATTCCCAACACCCACATGGAGGCTCACAACTACGTGTAGGCCCAGTTTCAGGGATCCTACAGGCATGTATGTGGTTAACGCACATGCACGCAGGCCAAACATTCATAGAGTAAAATAAACAGATCTAATAAATAAAACTGAATTGTATATATAGAAAAAGAAACAACACACTAAACTGAATGGGCCAGATATGACATGATACCAGGTATGTGTACCGTCAAACCAGCAAATCCAGAGAGACAATGGGTGACCCGTGGCTAGAGGAAGAAGGAAGGCAGAATGGAAAATGCTGCGAAGCACAGTGTATGTTCTGAGGTTAAGAAAATGTCTAGAATTAGATAGTGATGAAGTTGTGAAATCTTATGAAAACCACTGAACTGGATATTTGCTGGGCAGTGGTGGCGCACACCTTTAATCCCAGCACTCGTGAGGCAGAGACAGGTGGATTTCTGTGAGTTCAAGGCCAGCCTGGTCTACAAGAGCTAGTGCCAGGACAGGCACCAAAGCTACAGAGAAACTCTGTCTCGAAACTGTCTCTCCCCCCCCCCAAAAAAAAAGAAAAAAGAAAATCCTGACTGAGACAGGACTACTCGTATGGACTGTCTTTTCAATCCTTTTACTTTCTATTATCTGTGTTTGAATCTATAATGTGTCTTTTGAATATGGTATACTGTTGGCTTATATTTTTAAAAATCCATTCTTCTAATCTGCCTTTTACTCACAGAATTTAATCAACATATTTAATGTAATCTCTGATCAAGAAGAATTTGTATCTTTAATTTTGATACTTTTCCTTACATGTTTTCCCCTCAAGGTTAATCAGATATTTTATATTATACCATTCCAATGTCTTTACTGTTTCTTTTACTAGTTTTGATTCCTGCCAACCTCTTTACAATCATTTTTTCCAATTAAATATGAAAACCATTTGTCAAATTTCTTATTTTTAAGTAGCCAGTATTTCAAATAATTAAAATAAAAAGCAAATAAATATTCATGGCATTCTGCTCAAAGTCTCCTGCTTGTAATTTGAAACCTCTTTTTAGTGGGAAGGGTAGGTCAATACATAAAATATTTGTTTACAAACAAAATAATAGATTCAACCCAGTTGTTTCCTCTAGTCTTCTCCATAACCTATTTTTTGATTTGCAATGTCTATATTTTTATTGAAACTCATCCAGCTATTACATTTACTTTTTAAACAAAGATTCTAGAAATTGACCTCTACATGACTTTAATTCATATCTAAATAGTTTTAAATTTATATTTACTCATATGTGTGCATATGTGTGTGTATGTGTGCACATGTGTTATGGTGTGTCTACAAAGGTTACAGAACAACTTGCAGGACTTGGCTCTCTCCTTCTATCATGTGTTTTCCAGAGCTCAAACTCAAGTAGGTCATCAGGCAAATTTAGTGTCCTTAGTGATATGACACAATACTGAAAGCCCGAACCGAGGTTAAGTTGCTTAGCTTCCTGGATCCTTAATTATCTTAGGTAATATACAACTGAACACAACCAGTAATAGGACCACTCTCATTGGAACTTGCAGAGAATTAGGCAGTGCATGGAGAGACTCATTATAGTGTGAGGCCTAAGAGATATTAGCTGATTATTTACCATCATTATACAATCCATGACTAAAGTATCTTTTACATTAGCTAAAAACCAACCAACCAACCAAATAAACAAAAACAAAGGTGAGGCTGGAGAGATTTCTCAGCAGTTGAGAGTGTCAGCTGCTCTTGTACAGGATCTGAGTTGTCAGCACCCATGCTGAGTGGCTCACAACAGCTTGTAACTCCAGGTTTAGAGGATCCAAAATCCTTTTCTGGACCCCACAGGCACTTGCACTCAAATGCACAGACCCACATACAGACAAACACATAGATATCATTTAAAAGTAATATATCTTTAAAAGATGCTAAAAATAAAACCATTTTCTAATAAGTCAATGAAATGATATAATAATTAAGAATCACTCATGAATACCATTTAAAAACTACAGTATACTATGTAACTATATTATTTATGATGCTCAGTTACCTATATCAATGTTTTCTCTTCCCAGAGCCACAAGTGAGAGAAATAGTATTTCTCTATATAAACTCCTGTGGGCCAAAAGACATGGAAAATGTTAGAATCCTTAGAGTTTCTATCTTTTCTTTTATGCTACACAAGTATAAGGATGACGGAACAAACAGGATGCATGTGGTTAGAGAAATGCCCCTTTCATCTGAGGTAAAGACTTACCGTTGTCTTTTAAAATGTGGACACTTATTCAGAGTCTCTAAAATCTGACTCATGGGTCCATAGACATCATTCATTTTAATGCTTTTCACCATACTTTTCAACAGTTCCTGGTTAAATGAGTTATCACTTTTTTGTAATAAATGAACCATTGGATACTTTTGAGCTATAAAAGAACAAAAGAGCAGATGAAGGAAATGTTCTTTGTAGAAGGTAGAAATAATTTAAACAGCAATTAACAAGTGTTAAAGACATTAGAAAGCATTCAAAACAAATTAAGGCAATAGGTAAAGGAATAGAAGTTTAAAAATATGTGAAATAGGAAAGTAAGAAAAATAATGATAAAAATAGGCCTGCAGAGTTTTGTGGCCTCAAACAGCTACAACTAAAGTAGCTTCCTTAATAAAGCCCCTGAAGGAAAGTCTCCATTAGTAGTCAGGGATGGAAACAAAAAAATAAGTAAAAACAGAAATTGGGGCAAGCAATGTTCTTCAAGCTCGACTGTACAAATACAAGCAAGCCCTTCACCACACAGAGAGCAGCCTCCCAAACAGCAGCACCAGGAGCTCAGCCCCACAGAAGGCAGCACCAATGAATCAGTTGACACTTACTCTCAAACAAAAGAGTGCGGTTCTGACCTGCAAGACACAAAGCACAGTGATGCAGAAGTCAATACATGCAGAGGCTTCTTAAAGGAAGAGGAGATTACTCTCCTGAAGTTAGCATTCTATGACATCACTTACTGTGGGCATTCCAGAGAATGTACAGGGGTTGCCCTGGATCCTGATGTAATTTCATATTGTCCCATAACATCTGTATTAAAACATATTTACTATCTTCAGACATACAGTGGCGGGGAATCTGTGTTGTAAAATAAAAATTTATTATTGATCCTTACATAATTTTGTAAATATATTATAAAGCCTGTCTTAGGGTTTCCATTGCTGTGAGAAAACATTACGACTAATAGCAACTTAGGGAGGAAAGGGTGTTTCAACTTATAACTCTTGGGTCACACCCCATCACTAACGGAACTCATGGCAGGAGTCTGAAGGCAGGAACTAAAGCAGAAACCATGGAGGAACCCTGCTTACTCATCTGCTCCCATGGCTTGCTTGGCCTT